TATATATTGAAATGGCAATTTTTACTGTTTGAAGCTGTAATTTTTAAAGATATAAAGAAGTCGTTATTTACTATAGTGACAGTTACTAATCACTTATTTTGGATATTAAATTATAAATTGTGGCTTTTATACTTTCTACATTAAGTTCTGTAATATTTATATTTTTCCACCCCGATGTCCCTTTTACTGTTTGAAACTATAAAAATTAATCGGAATCCGAGTGAATATTACAGTTTACTTTTTTCCGTGTAGTCATAAATAAAATATTTTGCAAGCAATATTGAAAAAATTAAAAACACTAGAAACCTTGCAGTTATTATGTGACTGCCATGGCGTGTGATCTATAAATAAATAAAATTTTGCTTTATTAAATAATGAATTTTGTTAAATTGCACTGTATACTTTTTTAACTATTGACGTTTCTAAAGATATAAGCTCATCCTGATGTTACACTCATCAGGAGCTTTCATTTGAGTACCTACATGTATTTTGATATATTTTTCATATATACATATATATATAATATATATAAATATATGAAAAATTGATATGGGTACTCAAATGAAAGGTCTTGATGAGTCTAATATCGGGATGAGCTTATATCTTGAAAAATGTCAATAGTTCACAAGATACAAGGTCATTTCTTAATTATGTATCTTGAGATAGAGCATTTTCGAATGCAGCCGAAATACTTATCATCATAAATTGACTATTGGTGAGAATGATATAAAACCATGAAAAGGCACAACTCCAGGTCAAGACGTTTCCAACGAAATTTAACCATAAAAACCCATTTTATCATATAAATACACTAGCCACAAAATTGTGCTTATTCTCTCAATAATATAGATTCAATTTTTTCTATAAAAATTTTTTCTGACATAAGATTTGATATTAGGTCTAATATGGACATATATACCAGCATATAATTTCATTACCAAATTTAGTTTCAAAAATTTCCAACAGGTGGCGCCTGATCGTTTAACCTTCTCGCATTTGCACAGTTAATTTTTAGGAACTAAAATAAAAAATAAAATATTCAATTTAAAGAATTACGTCATACTTTAAATGGTTCCAATCGATATTTACTTCACTGTCTTCTAAAAAATATTCATTGTAGGCCTTAATTAACAACCTTCAACTCAGTAAATATATGTACACGTGGCGGATGCGAGGAAGCCCCGCAAGTGGAAACTTGTGTTCTCAAAAAGTACACGTGGTTAAAGTGCCGTACACTTGTATGCATACATGCTAAAATAAACTCGAGATACTAAGACCACTTGCAGCTAGACACTGTAATGTTAAAAGCTAAATAAAGGGGTGAAACACCCTTCACTATTACTCACTATTACTCACTAAAGTTCCGTTTACACTTTCCGGGTCCAAATGAACCCAACCCTGTACTTTGTGATCATCATACTGAATATTAAGTACAATACAAAGCCTTTACGACGTGCCAAAAGCTTCATCATTCTATCTCGATTCTATTTAAGATAGATCCTACACCCTTGTGCTCACCCTCATCCGGATCCGGATCCCGATTTTGAATTTGAATTAAGCCAGAGGCAATTGTTTGAAGAACAACTGATTCGCGAATTGTAGGAGCACGTCGCTCAAAGGTAACCTTGGAGTCCTTTTCCTTTCCTTTAGTCCTAGCGAATAATATAAATAGCGACCGCGAACGGAAGAGGACTCCTACCGCCATGTGTCCGGAAACAAACGTCGAGATGTCTCTTGGTCTCTCGGTCGCCAGTATATTCACTTTTTGTTTTTTTATTTTATATTTCATTTTATGTGCATACGTATATCGGTGGTATTTGTAGTAGGCATTTGTTTGACCCTAAAAAATCATGCGGTTTTACTTCTTCCTTCTTTAGTTTCTATTATTCTTCTTCCGTTCGTATTCCGGCGAACAACTGCCCGTGAGACTGTGTAATGCTTCATTTTTTCTATCCACCCGAAAATTAATTCGGAATTTTTGCGAGACTCGAGAGGTGGAATGTCTTGAGTCGTCGGTTCAAGTGAAATTTAAAATAATAGGTGAGGGATAAAATTAGAAATATTTTATTTAATTGACTAGTTTTAAAGTTAATCAATATTAAAAAAAAATGGTAAATTTTAATATAAACAAAAATTAAGTTAAACATTTAAAAAAATTGTAACAAATTTTTGGATGGGAATTGCAGATTCTAGATTGTTGTTAAATGAATTGTAAGAAAAATTTTTGGTAACATTGTAGTAAGTTATTGTAGTAAAGAATTTGATCGAAATACTTTGTTGAAAAACTGTTGATGAATTAGATTTTTTAGAATGAGGTAAAAATATTAATGAAATTTGGAGACTTATTCTTAATTAATTAGAAGTAATGGGTAATAAAGCCTAGTTGAGAAATATTTGCACTGAAAAAAAAGTTTTTTTTTACCCAGGAAATGTTTCCTTATGGATAAATAAATAATAGTTTAAAAAAACTGAAAACACGCTTTTTATAGAAAATCAAACTAAAAAATTGAAAATAAATTTTAATAAATTTAAATTAAGAATAGTGTTAAAAATTTCAATAAATATAAATTAATAGTGTGAATAAAAAAAATTATTTTATTTTTAAAAAAAGCGTGGGGTGCATGGTGTCAATAGTTACAAATATTTTATTGACAGATGTGAGTAGAGTGATTATCATTTTCATAATATCTTAAAAAGCACCCCACGCTTTTTTTAAAATAAAATAATTTTTTTTTATTCACACTATTAATTTATATTTATTGAAATTTTTAACA